CTCTGTAATTGTAAACTAATACAACCTTCACAGAACCTATCAGAGTATCTTGTCAATTTACACTTGTTACATTCTTTCAGTTTGCCTGATTTATCTCTTGCATTTCTTAATTCAACCTGATAAATAAATTGTTGCTTACAATATTCTTTTTCATTTTCAGAAAGCTCCTTGTTTTTGTTGACTAATGAAAAAAAATAGTCTTTCATACTTTCTTCATCAGAATTATTAGCATTAGCATTATTACGCATTTCATTATTAATTTTAAATACAAAGTCCTCCCTTTCTGTTGATAATGATGATAACAAATGATTATATGACATCATATAAAATATGAAACTTTGACTTATCGTTTTAATGAATAGAATTGAATAACGTGTAACAAACAAATTTTTCGTGCAACATTTTTCCTATATAACATAAATTGAAAAGCGAAGATTGTATTATTTAAAGAACAACTTCATCATCACCAAAATTCTAGTGATTGATTTATTGTGATTTCAACAATAAAAGAAATTCTTTAAAGATTTAAAAGTGACAAAAATAGAAAACCTGTCTTATGTGCTATGTAAAGGTCGTTCTAAGTGCCAATATTGACCAACCTATGTTGCTTCAAACTCAGATACTCAAGCACATTATTAATATTATTGCATATTACTATTACACGTAGTTCTGTAGTTAACTTCAATTTACATTTTATGAAATGTAATAATAAAAAGAATTTTGAAAGAAAATATATGGAAAAAATTAAGTAAAATTTCTAATTCAAATTATAACATTTGCAAACTTCTCATGATAATTATTCTTGCATCATTGCACAATGAATGATATAATGATTCTTTATTCACTCTGGGACACACAATTTTACATAATTTGGAACTTTTGATAATCCTATTTTATCATTATTGTTGTTGTTTGCTTGTATCAAGTGTTTTTAATTGTATCAAGCATTTTTAATTACGTCAAGTGGTTTTACTTACGTCAAGGGCTTCAAATCGTCAAAATGACCCTGGTGAGAAATTAAAAAGTTTTGTCATACATCATTAGAGCCAATTCCAATGCTTCATGAGGTTTCAGCTGGAATATAGGTTAGATTCGCTGAAAAAACGCAAAGCATTATCACACAGATCTTTGATACACTGTGGGTTATATAATATGTTTATTTTTTCCTTTAACTTCATTGTATAAGCCAAACCATAATATTATATTAATTTACTATTTCTTTTAGACATAGAATATGGGTTACGCCTAAGTGTGAGTTATATAAAGAGACACCCATCAATGAGACCTCTTATATGTGTGAAGTATTGACGCCATTATTCAGCATAGCCATGAGCAGATTACCTGTAGAATGTGTGGCCTGGAGTGTCTTTTCCATATTTTTCTAATTGTAAAGAGGAAATTCAAATTTGATACTCTATCTGCATAACTGATCAGATAATTAATATGTCGTGTGGCTGATCATTAAAATGCATGCATGATTTATAACCAAATTTGAAATTTGATTAATTACCTCATGGTCATACATTTCTGTGAAAAATTTTATGTGTATTCGTGGTTTGGATCGCGGTCATTAATCTTATTATTGCTGGACTTGTGGTACGCAACAAGCAAAACTAACCTTATCTTATTTGCGCAAGTAACTTAAGGTTACCTCATATACTATTTATTATAGTTCTTTCCCATTTCTGGTGTTTTTCTTTGGATTAAAATCATCAACTATATCGGTTATCTTATCTTCACTAGTGTTATGAAGGGTCTAGGTGAGTTTTGGTAATCAAATTTGAGCAATATAAAATTATCAATACCATCTTTTTTTTTAAAAAATTTTTTTTCTAACTACTGGTATAAAGCCAATGATAAGAAAATAGATTTTAATAATTTAAATCTCGATCGCTCATATACCCTTAAAGAATTTGAATTCATCAATGATCAGCTCAAGACACGCATTCTAGAAATTGATGGACATCCAGTTAACCTTTTTGATCTCGACAAAAACGGCAAGCTTATCCCTATGCCACAATCACCTTACTCTAGAGCAAAAGTTGTTGCTGAAATCATTGGACAACTTAGTAATTGGAATATCTGGACACGACAAAATGGGGGCATTACCTCATCACAGGGAGGATTCGATTTTGATGTTGGAGGTGGTAAAACAATCAGAGCGCCAGATATTGCTTATACATCCAAAGAAATAGATTGTCAATTGTGTTACCAGAATTAGGATTTAACGCTAATTTGTTAGTCGAAATACCCTAATTCCGAACCAAATCTTTTATTTCTATTTTTATTTTATTTACTTTATTTTT